TGCTTTAAAGCTAAGTGGGGGGGTGGGAGGGAATGAAACACAAAATTATTTAAAGGGAATAATTTCAACTCTATAAATGAGCACATGAATAGAAGATAGCAACATGTTAAAAGTAGACACATTTGCTTTTCCATATTTTTTAAAAAAGGATTGATGACTGGAAAAGAAATTAGATTCTCCTTTTGGTTGTTACAAGAAACAGTATCACAAGTACTAATCTTAGGCTTATGATATTTGTTTATGTGATTTTATTTTTGCAGGGGTTTTATAAAGAAGTTTTAGTAATATTTATACACGTTGGTCAAACCATTTGACCAGTTACAGAAATAGAGATGAGAAAATTGAAGAACAGGCAGGTGAAAGGAAGGCACAGCTCACTTAACAATAAGGAACCTCTGAGGTGGGTGCTGCCACCTTTTTAGTGAGGGAAGAGAAGTTCAGTGAGGCTCAGGCCACAGCTGCATGTCCATGAGGGGCAGATTGACAGCTCAGGCCCCGGCAGGGGTGGGGTGCTATCAGTTCCTCCTTCCCCACCACACCTGACCAATGCCTCCAGGACTGGGGAGAAGGGAAGGGCAAAAGAAGGGGCTTCATGAATGATTGTTCCCCCGCCCCTCTTTCTTCTCTCTTCTAGATTTCCTGCAAAGTGTGTAACTTTTTTTCTTTTTATACATGTGCAAGAAGAAAACAGCAACTGTTGAATTCACTGAGCCATGAACAGAAAGGAGGCAGTCAGGCCCAGCTCCCTTCCTAAGGGGAATGAAGGGTGTGAGGGGCTGGGAGAGAGACCAGTCAGTACTCTACAGCTCTGATATGCCAGGACCACAGGCATGCATGAGGACACATGCATATATGTGTATGTGCGTGCATGTGTGTGTGTGGTGCTGATTGTGTGAGCTGCCTGTGACAAGGAGCAGCAAGAGCTACAAGGATTTCCACAAAGGTGAGCCTCTATGTCCAGGTGACCCAGCCCTGCAGGAGCTCCACACTAAAAAGCCACACACGTCAAGTTGGGTGTGCTGTGAAGCACATCTTCAGATAGTTATACAACAGTGCTGTTTACCCTCCAGTCAGCATTCTCAGCCCCAAAGCATGAAGGACAGCATATGCTGAGGCTGCTCTGGGCGATGAGGAGGAATTCGAGCAGCCCTTGTTTTAGAAGGGCTGGGGCACTGTGGCTGTGGTTCTGAGGAAAGTGTTCCCTTGCTCTCTGTGGCCTGTTTCCCTCAATCTGCCCACTTTGGTGCAAGAGGGCTGCTTCCAGGCAGGCCTCCCACAGCTGCATGCCAGCTGAGAGGAATCAGGGACCTTTCTTTACACAAAGTTAACAAAAGGAAAAACTAGTGGAAATCCATAATTGCAGACAACTTGCCCACAATCTTCTGCAGACAAAGTGCTTTTGTATTTCTAAATCCCTTGTCAATCCGTGTTCATGAATATAAACAAGTCTGTGGGAAGCCATTTGTGTCCTTTGGGAGAGATACTGAAAGTTGTGCCTGTGGCTTGGAAAGGTGTGAGCAGCGAGGAGGGGCAGAACCAACAGCCTTCCAGTCAATTCTACTTATGGCAACTCCATATGAGACAGATTAGAACTGTGCTCTGTGAGGTTTTCAATGGCTAACGCTTGGGAAGTGGATCACCAGGCATTTCCTATGAGGCACCTCTGGATGAACTCAAACTACCTTTTGGTTAACAGCAAAGAACAGTAAGCATCAGGGGATGTGGCTGTAGTTATTAATACGTGCTGTTAAGACAAAACCAAATCATAGCTGACCCTCCCATGGGAGGAGACTGCCATCTTTCACCCATGGAACCACTGGTGACTTGAACTCCCTGCCTTTGGGTTGACAGCTCAACTCCTTCCCACTAGGCCACCAGAGCAGGAAGGGTGAATTTGGTGGAAGGAGAGAAGAGCCTGAATGGCTGTTTAATGGCCTGAATGGCTAGTAAGTCGAGGAGATCTGTGTCACTGAGCTGGAGATGTGGTGGCAAAGAGGAGGCAGCAGTGAGACAGAGAAGAGCAAAGACCCACATGGACCTGAGCATTTTGTCCCTCAAGTGCAGGTCATCTCACTGTCACATCTCTGATGCTCTCAACAGAGCAGGGTAATAGACAGGTGTATCATATGGAGATAAAATTCAGAGAGCTGACAGGATCCACCCTAGGTCACACAGCTATGAAATGGCACTTGAATCAGGTAGGCTGGCCCCAAGGCTAGGATTCTTTCTGTCCTACATAGCACAATGCCCTCTGGTAAAGACAAGGGACCCCTTACTGTCCCATTATCAGAAGGAAGAGATGGTGGAGACTAGAGCCATGGGAATTGGGAAGGGAGAGGAGCAGGTGCAAATTTATAATGATCAGGTAGCAAGGTTAGTGGTTAGAGGACAGCTTTTGGCTCCAGATGCGGCTTTACCGCAGTAAATAAAATCCCGGTGGCATAAATGATTTGTACTTGGTGACTAACAAAAAGGGTGGGGGTCTGAAACCACCCAGGGCTGTGGAAGAAAGACCCACTCCCATAAAGACCATTGCCAAGAAACCAGAGGGAGCTCAGTTCACCTCTAACATACTGAGTCACCATGAATTGGGTTTGCTATCTGTGGTTTGGCATTTTTCTAATAAACATTTTACCTAAGATATCAGGGATTGATAGAAGGGGGTAGAAAGAGGGTTCAAAGACTCCAGTTTTAATTTTGCCCTGTTCCATTTAACTATGGCAAGTTGGACAAATAATTTTAAAATGTAGGGGTCAAAGAAAAAATAAAAATTGAAGCCTATGATTTTATGACTTCTCAAATTCTCCCAAACTCATAACTTGAGGCTTGGGTTTGGTTTGGTTTGGTTTGGTTTGTTGTTTTTTTTTAATCACTTTGATTTCTAAAATAAAAACTATTACAATCTCCAAAAGGACCTTTTCTCTTTACAAAAGTCAAGAAAAATATTGAAATTCAAACTGACAAGTCTCTCCCTTGGGGAACAGACTCCCTTTCACACTTCTCAAGACAAGGCTTTGCACTAATCAAGATGTAACAATACCCTCCCACCCAGCACTGGTGCGACTTTCTCTTGCTTCAGGCAACTGTCCAGAGGATTCCTTCATTATAATCTTTCTATGAATCATTCAGAGGTAAGTGCCCTCTCTCTTTGCAGCTGGAGAATTAAAAATATTACAAAAGAGAAATGAAAATCTGCGGTGCATCCAAAATTAGCACTCAGAGATCCTGACTTCCCAGTTCACCTTTCTGCATGACCCAACTCTTTGTTGGACTTGATTGACATGCGTGATTCCCGCTGGGACCCCCACCTGATTTAGGGGCAACCCCGGATCCTTCCTCAGTTTCTGATTCAGTGCAACAGCGACCCAGCAGGTGTAGGGCTCCAAATTCCAGCCCATCCTGATGGACCTCGTCCTAACTCCTTCCCCACCCACTGCAGGTGCCCCTGCAGTCACATGCTGTTGTCAAATGAGCTGCAGCCTCAGGCTGCTCACTCTGCAGAAAAGAATGGGGGGGGGGAGCAGAGAGAGTAGGAAAACATAGTTCTCTCCTGAGAACACTACATCCTCTTGGCTCACAAAACACAACCACCTTACTCCCTCCCCACAGAACCCCCACCAGCCATGTAGCACAGCCTCTGGGGTCACCCTCGGGCCCGAACTTGGTCCACCCAAGAGCAATAACATCTGCTACAGAGATCTGGGGGCGACCTGACCTGAATCAGAAATGCAAATATAAAACCAACTGGGGAGGAAAGGCAGCCAGATGAAAGGTTTTCTCTCTCTCCCTCTTTCACAGTGATGTCCATGGACCACAGCCGAGCCTTTCCACCATGCTTCCTCTGCCTCCAACAAACTTCGTGACTCACTATCTATTGCCTCACAGCATATTCAGTGTTGGGTTACATTGGACAGCTGTTCTCCAAATACCCCTCAGGTGCTGCCTGAGCGCTCGCTACCTGGCTAGTGGAGGTGGGAGGTTAGTGAGCGCACCTCTAATTCTTCCCCCCATACCCCGCTCTAGAAAAGCTGTCAGGGAGGGGCCTTGGGTTTGAGGGATTTTGGCTGATTGAGATCTTATCAGCCCCTAAAGCACCTGGAGAGGATCTGTCAGGCAGGGAGAGAGGGGGTGGGTCTGGAATTCCAATGCTCCACTCATTGGAGCTGCAAAATGGGACCCAAAGCGCTCCCTCTTCTTCACCCAAACAGCCTCCCAAACTAGAGAAATCGCAAATTAGAAAGCAGGGCAGTGACTCCTGAGGGGCGGGCTAACTGTTGCACATCAGTTGAAAAGAGAGTTGAGGAAGGAAGGGGGTGGGCGAAGGGAGATCAGAGGGCAGGCAGAGGCGTGGCGCACCGGTCCTCTCTTCATCAGAGTGGAAGTCAAATCTGGAAGCTCGAGAACCTGGGTCCTATCGCGGGTAGTGGAGGCCAAGTCCACTCAGGGACGATGAAAGGAGGCGGCCAGAACTGGCGCTGTCCCCAGCCCTCTGCGCCACCGCGCTGCCTCCCACAGCCTGTGCGCCGGGCAGCGAGGCAGGCGGCGAGCGTCTCTCCAGAAGCCCGGACACGTTTCCAAGCCTAAAACTCCCAGAACATAACCCTCTTTTGTTAATTCTGCAAATTCTGTCACACCACCACCTCCACCAACACTTCCTTTCCGCTAGCTCCGAGGGAGTCCGCTCTGGCCAGCGCCCTGCCGCGCCTACCGCCCGGGCCACCTCCCCAGGACGGACCACTGGCCACCAACCCCCCCCGCCCCCCGCGCTGGCGCACGGCGCGCCCCGGGGACCTCCGAGGACCGCAGGGTCCCCATCCCCTCGGCATCTTTGTCTCCGCACAGACGCGCGCGCACAGAAACGCGGAGACTCAGCCCAGCCCTGCGCGGGTCCGAGAGCTCGCCCCCCGCCAGGGCCACTCGGAGGGACAATGGTGCCGGTTTGGGAAGTTTGCGGAGTCCGCCCGCGGCGGGCCGGCGCCTGGGGCCAGTGCTCTCCTTACCGTACATCTCCGCAAGCCAGGCGCCTCCCGGGAGGCCGTCGTCGCCGCGTCGCTCGCACCGGGCCCCCGGCGGCGCCCGCCTTTCATTCACAGCCGAGGCTGGAGACGGCAGCCGCCGGGGGAGGGCCGCGCCGGGCAGAGCCGATCGGAGCGGGGGTCGGACGCCGAGAGACCTGGGCGAGCAACCACGAGCCCATTCAGCTCCCAAGGCTGAGACTGGAGGCCGGGCCTCCGGGCTCCGGCGTCTGGGCCCGGCGGGGCGGCGAGGGGCGGTGGCTATGCTGATACGCACCGCCCACCGCGCGCGCTCGGCCACTGCCCGGCGGCCCCGGGTCACCGCCCCGCCCCCGGAGCGGCCCCGCCCCCTGCAGCCTCCTACAAACCACCAGCCCAGAAACCCCAATCCCAAAATGCGCCTTTTCCCGCTGGTGTCCGATGGGCCTGGGCAGCTGCCACTACTTGGGGCAGCCGCCTACCTGAACTCAGAGTATCGCCCAGGTAGGCAGATCCCCCCCTTAACCTGCCGGTGGGACCATTGGAAGCTGCTGGCTCTCCAAAGAGGCAGATGTACCCCCTCCCCCAGATTTATCCACGTTGTGCAGGCTGAGCCAGGGGGCGCGAAGAGGAATGACCTTCTACGTTCCGTTGGCCTGGTTTAGAGGAATCCCACTCTCTAATTAAACCGGACCGAAGAGCGTCCTTCCTGGGCCAGGTATGCAGGAAACGCCCACCCTTCCCTCGCCCTCCGCCATGCCTCAAGTTCTTGAGGAAGTTGGCCCGCTTCTCCCTCGTATTTATACATGTCATTTACAAGCGTTGCTGCCCAGATCCCGTCCGCCTGTGCCCCAGGGTCGACTTAAATACCATCTCCCCACAGCTAAGTCCCGCAGATTAGCAAAGGCCCTTGGCAGCATCACACATCTTGCTATCTCCTAGCCCGGCCCAGGGCTCACCTGAGCCGCCTTGTCTGACCTCCTCTTCCTTTGTCAGTTCACACAGTCTCCTGTACTCTCAGTAGCCATTACTTCGTTACTTCTCTTTCCCTGTGGTTGAGATATTCTACAATTTTTTTAAAATGTCAAAATAGTCTACTAGAGGTTGAAACTGGGAGGACCTTAAAGCGGGTGTATTGACTCCATTATACAGAAAACTGAGGATGGAATTAGCCAGAACCTGTATTCTGTTTTCTAGATGCACCGGCCTTCCTGCAAGACTGTTGGGAAATAGAAATAAAACCTGCATGATGGCCCAAGGCCGAGCAACGTTTAGTTCTGTTGTTTGCAAGTTTGTCATGAGTGGAAGCTCACTTACTCATCAACAGCTAACAACAAAAGCTTTTTTTCTTTTTTTGCTTACTTTATTATTTTTTGCGTGTACATCGTCAAATCGGATATGACTGGTCCCGGAGGAAATTGCCCCGCCTTCCCCTGCAGAGCATCTGGTGGATTTGAACCATGTACCTCTGGGGTTGCAGTGCAGCTTCTTGCCACTAGGCCACCTAACAAAGGCTTTCTTAAGACTCCCAGTCAGTGTCATCTCCTTTTATAAAACACAAAACCAAACTTCATTGTTTATTGAGTTGGCAAGACTTGAAACTGACCCTCCAGTGAGGTGTGTGGAGGCTTTAAATCACAGGAGAGGATATTACTCATCTTTCTTCTGGGGAGCAAAACGGATGGGTTTGAAACACCAGAGAGGTTCCACCTTTGGATTAGAAGCACAACTCCCTACAGATTGTGCTGTGTCTTCTGTTTTATAGATGCAGTTAAAAGATCCCACCAAGTTTGCATGCAAAGTAAGCACTCACTCTCACAAATATGTTTCATAAACATCTGTTCATCCAGTTAGCCGTCTCTGATTTCTGTATTAAAACCATGATGACAGCTAACTCCAAACAATCCCCACCCCCTGCAACTCCACTGCCTCTGAGTAATTTCTGACAATTAGAGGGAGCTTCGGTGGCCTAGTGGCAAGAAGCTGCGCTGCAATCCCAATCTAAAATTTGAATCTGCCAGCTGCTCCACAGAAGAAGTATGGGCAGCCTCTTTCTGTGCAATTAAACTACCTCTGAAAATCCACTGGAGGGTAGTTATAGGTCGGTTTCAACTTAATGACACAGAGCAACAACAACAACGTAATCCTCAATGATGCTCCATCAATTTCTGAGGCTACAAATCTTAATGAGAGCAGACTGCTCAGGTATCTTGCTCAGGTTTCACACAGCGGCTTGTGGATTCAAACCTAGAACCTTTTGTCTAGCAGCCCAACATGTAATGATGGCCCTGTTCCACCAGAGCTCCTTACAAGAACAGCAGAGGTCAATTCCCTAAATCCGCAAATGTTTCCTGTTATTAACCTGTCTAATAAGATGGGAGTTTTAATTTTAATGATAATAATAATAGCCTGAATGAAAGAATAGGGAGACACTAGTGGTGGAGTCTGTAAGGGGTCATACCTATAACCTAAAAGCCGCACCACTCTGGCAGTTTGAATTTACCCACCTCTCCTTAGAAGGAAGCTAGGTAGTCACCTCCCGTGTAACCTACAGCGTCAGAAACTCCCTCTAGGGAGTTGACCCTCTAGGGTCAACTATGATTGACATTGGGCAGCAATGAGAAAGAGAGACATGAAAATATATGTCTATCCCCTTCCTTCTCACCTAAGGCAGGGACAGAGAGCAAATCCAGGGTACCTGACTTTTGGAATGTTGTTGTTGTGTGCTGTCAAGTCAGGTATGCCTCATAGCAACCCTGTGAACAACAGACCCAAACCTGCCATATCCTGTACTATTCTTATCATCTTGCTATTATACCTGAAGCCCATGTTCCCTATTTCTCTCTGATAACACTTCTTCCCTTTCCCTTATAGTTACAGGTTTTATTCTTCTTCCATAGCCTTTTTTACTTAGCAATATGAGAGCCCAGGAGGCTGATTGGAAACCCTGAAGCTCACGTCCTGTCTAGACCCTCAGATGACTCACAAAAGAGAGTGCCATCTCTGCTCCTCAGCTCCAGGGCTGGACAGTGCAGCTCTCAGGTCTGCTGGGAGCAGAAGGGAGAAGGGAGGACTTAAGGGGACTGATTTGGTCTGGACACAAAAAGACTCCCACCCTACATTTCTTACTCAATACAAAATATACTCTTTAAACATTTGTGCATTAGATAAAGTGGAGCACAGTGTCTGTTTCAAGGAGTGAAGTATCTAGCATGGAGAACAAGACAAATACAGACAAAAATTTAAATGACGAGGAATATTGTCAATTCTGCATGAGAATTTAGGAATTCAGAGGACTGCAAGGATAATTCATTCTTTCTATTAAATATTTATTGGTTGCTCCTTATTTTGTTCTAGATGCTGTGCAAGGTACTTAAGAAAAAGGAGACATGGAAAGGTGATAATAAATTTTAATAATTACTACAGTGGAGGCATGTATTAGGAGCCAAGTTGAACTTCTTGAATTAAAAAAAAAAAAAAACCACAAAAAAACAACCCAAACAAACAAACCAAAAACAAAAATCCCAGCACAAAACTACTCGATGTTGTTATTGTTGTTATGTGCCGTCGAGTCGCCTGCAACTCATAGCGACCCTATGTACAACAGCCCTAAACTCCACTCTGTCCTGCGTCAATCGCACTGTCTCTGACACTCCCATCCCAATTATCCCAGTCACTGAATCAATCCACCTCATAGAGGGCCTTCCTCTCCTGCACTGTCCCTCCACCCTCCCAAGCATGATGTCCCTCTCCAAGGACGGGTCTCTCCTCACAACATGTCCAAAGTATGTTAGACGGAGCCTCAGAATTCTTGCCTCCAAGGAGCCACCCGATTTAACCCTTTCCAGGACAAATCTGTTTGTTTTCCTAGCAGTCCATGGTATTCTCAATACTCTTCTCCAGCACCACAGCTCAAAGGCATCAATTCTCCTTCTATCCTCCTTGGTCATTGTCCAACTCTCTGATGCATAACAAGTGATTGCGAAGACCATGGCCTGTATCAGACACACCTTAGTCTCCAGAGAGACACCACTGCTCTTCAGTACTTTGGAGAGGTCCCTAACAGCAGACTTTCCCATGGCAATGCGCCTTTTAATTTCCTGGCTGCTGGTGCCAAGACTGTTGACTATGGAGCCAAGCAAACTAAAGCTGTGTACAATCTCAATCTCTTCACCATCCATCCTGATGCTGCCAATTGGTCCAGTGGTGAGAATCTTTGTCTTCTTGACATTGAGCCTCAATCCATATTGGAGGCTGCAGTCCTTGACACTCTGCAGCAGGTGCTTCAGGTCCTCTTCAGTTTCAGCAAACAGGGTTGTGTCATCCGCATAACGCAGATTGTTGATAGATCGTCCACCAATCTTGACCCCACATTTCTCCTCATAGAGCCCAGCTTCCCGGATAATGTGTTCTGCATATAGGTTGAAAAGGTATGGAGATAGGATACATCCCTGGCGTAGGCTTTGAAATATGAGCAAGAATTCTAAATGTATAAGTTATGTAAATAAGGTAATAATTTAAATAATTAAGGATATTGTAAGTCATTCCAAGCAGAGGGGCTAAAATTGCAGAAGTCAGAAGAATAGAAGAGAGAGTATAAGTAAAAATCAACTCAGAACCTCATCCGGCTGAAGTAGACAGTACTCCACCCAGACGCCTCTTTGTGAGCGAGAGGGTTGCTACATTTAGCCAGTAAAAGTACAAGCTGCCCATTAATTTGAATGACAGATAAACAAGAAATAACTTTCTAGTATAGCCCATACAGTGCACAGGTCTGCTGTTGTTACATGCCATCAAGGCAGCTTCTATGAACCACAGATCTGAATCTGAACTCTGCCTTACCCTGTGCCATCTTCAGTATCTCTGACATGCCCAAGCCCGTTGTTCCAGTGTATCAATACATCTCGTTGTGGGTCTTCCTCTTTTTCTCTGACCCACCACCTTTCCCAAAATGGTATCTTTTCCCAAGGACTCGCCACCCCTGACAATATACCAAGCGTACTGTGAAATGAAACATCACTATCCTAACTTCTAAGGAGCGTCCTGGTTGCACTTTCTCCAAGACAGACTTGTTTGTTCTTTTGGCAGTCC